TTGGACCTATATGTTGAAGTGATTTGATGTCTAATCAAATGTTTTTTGAACTTAACAATGGTTTTCTCCTAGATGTTTGGAGCCTATCTCTCATTATGTCTTTTGTTGGTTCTGTTGATGATTGCTCGCGCACTATATGTTTTTAGTATGTAGTTTGTTAGTTTTATTGATGATTGCTCTTGCACTATATGGTAATCCGCCCAATTAAATCTCAAGATTAAGTAATATCTGTGTTTACAATTTTTCATAAAATGGGTGTAACCCATTGTAATGCTATACTTCGAAATCTACGTTGTAATGATGGAAAAAAGTTTGTTAATTGGCACATAACTGAGTACCTTTAGGGATATGGCATTTTTGATCAAACATCTTGCCATTTTACGCCTCAACAGAACGGGGTTCTGGAGCACGAGAATAGTCATCTCCTGGAGGTTACTAATGTCGTTGAGTTTACTAGGAATGTGCCTGAGGTTTAAGAAGGTTGTGTTGTGTGTGTAGCATTACCTCCTATTCTTTTAGATTCCATCTCACCCTTAGAAAAGTTGACTAGACAGAAATAATCTTTAGAGCATCTTAGGGTCATTGTGTGTTAATGCTATGTGCATCTGACTGGAAGTACTAGAGAAATGTTGGAACCTAATTCTATTAGGTGCATTTTTATAGGATATTCTTCCACTCGAGAAGGATATTTATGGTTTTATCCTAGCAAGAGAAAGCACTATGTTTCAAGAAAGATCTAATATTCTTCCACGCGAGAAGGATACTTGAAGAAGTGCCATATTTCTATAAGGATTCTACATCTTAATCTAATATTTTTGCAGTGGAGGATCACATTGTTTCACCAATTTCCAATGATGCCATCTGTGCTACTTGAATTAGTAGCCCCACAAAAGGTTTCCCCTCCCCTTTTGACTCACGATGAAAGCTCTGTTCTGATAGACAACATGTGGATCCACAAGATGACCTGTCTTCTCCTGAAATCTCTCAGCAATCAGGCCACAACATAGGAAATTCCCCATCAGACTTTATTTACCTACAGCTTTAAAAAAGAAACCCTCAGCCAATTAAGAAATTTGTCTCCTACTCAGCTATATCTTCTTCACATTGTGATTTTCGTTCGTCCCTTGACTCTATTTTGGAACTATCATCTTATGCGTAAGTAGTCACCTGCCCTGAATGGAAAAGTGCCATGGAAGATGAGATAAGGGTGCTTGAAAAAATAAACAAGATTCCTTTAAGTAAAAGAAAGAAGGCCATAGAGAGTTGGTTACCATGATGCAATTACTTCTGTTGCTAAGATGGGAATTGTTCGATCCTTCTTTTTATTTGCAGAAATAATAATTGGGACTTATTCCTATTGGTTATTAACAATGCTTTCTTCCATGGAGATCTCGAGGAGCAGTCTACATACAAAGCCTACCAGTTCCTGGTCACAAGGCACCACCAAGTCTTGTATGTTTCCTTAAGAAAGCCTTCTATGGTCTAAAAAAGTCTCCTTGAGCATGGTTAGAGAGATCAGTCCAGCCATGATACGTGTTGGATATACATGTTCCTCCTCATATTATTCCATGTTTGGAAAGAAACAGAGGCGTGGGTCTACAATTCTATTACTATACATTTATGATATCATTCTTAGTGGAGATGATGCTAAAGAAATCCAAAACCTTAAGGAGTATTTGTGCACACAATTCAATATTAAAGATATGGGAGTGCTTGAGTACTTTTTTAGCATTGAGGTTGCATTATCAAAGAGAGATTTATATATCCTAATGTTAAGTATACCTTAGATTTCCTTAAGGAAATAGGAAAATTGGCAGCTTGTCCCATATTGTCTCTGGTGGACCCAAATTTCAAATCATAGTTTGGTTCTGTTACTTTATTGGAAAATATTCCTCAGTACCAGCTATTAGTGAGTTTCCCTCAATTTAAACCATTACTCACTCTGAGATCATGTTTGCAGTTGGCTCAACGAAGCAATACATGCATGCTCCACACGGTAGCCATCTTGAAGCAGTCAGTTGCATCCTAAACTACCTGAAGTCATCTCTAGTGAAGCATATCTACACATCAAAATTCTCACATTGATCTATTTGGATAACATGATGCAGATTGGGCAGGATGTACTCTTGTTAGGAGATCCACTACTGGCTATTGCACTTTTGTTGGGGGCAATCTTGTTACATGGTGTAGGTAATAATCGAAGATGTTGTAGCTCGCGCTAGTGTAAAAGCATGATATTGAGCTATCGCATCAATTTCATATGACCTGGTGTCGTTGAAAGTGTTTCTTAAATATATGTGTTTTCCTCTGTCTATCCCACTCTATTAAAATAACTACAAGCCCAATATTCCACGCGCTCAATAAACACATTGAAGTTTACTGTCGACAAAGTATATGCAAAAGCTATCTCATCTCCTTATATGAGAATTTCTAAACAGCTTGCAAACATTTTTATTAAAGGAGTTGGTGGAAAAGTTGCGAGAACTTATTAGCAAGTTGGTCAACCCTGACATTCATGCACCAACTTGAGGGGAAACATATATAGATGTGACCCAAAGAAAACGTTTGTCCTTTATGTGTACTTCCATTATGGGCTTATGCTATATTTATTTGTAGCTCATAAGGACTTAAGTGTACAATATAAAAAGAAGGGATTTATCAAATGTATGAGAGATCAACTATTTGACATTTTACCCATATTTTTTTATTTAATTTCAAACCATCAAAATATAAATTACTAATTGTTGGAAAGTTTGGTGTATTTTGATAAATTTCCCTAAAAAGACCTCGAGCAGTTTGTAAGCGCTATAAACATAAATTATATGACAGTGGTGGAGCAGTATTGTTCCTTTTTTATAGGGAAATTATCGCTAATATACCTATATTTTACTATAATCGGAAAAAAACCCCCAATTTTTTAAAACCTCACCTGCACCCTTTCTCACAATTTTCGGCGTTTTTAGACCAAAAGAACCTTCACGGTAGTCTTTTTACCGTAAAGAACATTACGGTAATTTAAATACCGTAATAACTTGAAGGAGTATTACGGTAATTAAAATATCGTAATACGTTAAAGTAGTATTACGGTAATTTAATTACCGTAATAACATTATGGTAATTTAAATACTGTAATAAGTTGAAGGAGTATTACGATAATTAAAATGCCGTAATACCTTAAAATAATATTACGGTAATTTAATTACCGTAATATTGCTCATGCGTCATTAAAAGATCAAAAAAGATTTTCTACTCTCTCGGGAGTCTATTATCTATTTACTCCCTTGAAAAAAATCCATGCTAGCTGTATTTTTCAAATCTTAAATTTTTAGGATATAATCTCTACTACGTATAGACTAATTTCAGCAAAAGAAAATTTCCAAGTAAATTATTCTGTATATTAGAAAAACCTAACACTTCAAGATTTATTTCAAACTATCCAATTTTCAAAGAGTTAGATTTAAGTGTCACAGAACTCACAATTCAATTCTTTCAAAAATAATTTAGTAATTTTTATATGGTTCTCAAAATTTTAGAACAAAAACATTCTTAAATAGGTGTTTTTGAGCGAGGGAGTAGATTCGCATTGTGCTCCCATGGGAACATGGATTTTTTGAAAAATACAACTCCGAAGAAGACTATAGAGGAGAGGGGTAGCTCTGATATTAGCTACGGTTGAAGCTTTTCAACCAATAGGGGTTTGGAATTGACCCGGAAAGTATTACGGTAATAAAAATACCGCAAAGACTTCCCCACACATTACGGTAATTAAATTACCATAATAATAAGTCAAACTATTACCGTATTTAAATTACCGTAATACTCTTTGAAATTTTCGGTATTTTAATTACCATAAAGCTTAAAATGTATTACGGTAAAAAAACTACCGTGAAGGTCATTTTGGTCCAAAAAACGCCGAAATTTGTGAGAAAGGGTATAGGCGAGGTTTTAAAAAGTTAGGTTTTTTTTTCTGATTTTACTAAAATAAAGGTATATTAGCGATAATTTCCCTTTTTTATATGATATAGTGGTGGAACAATACTGCTTCAATTCCTTTTTTCCTTTTTGCTTTCTCCGTTAACATGGCTGTGTGGGCTAGCACCAGTAACAACCCTTTCTCATGAAATAATTTATTATAAGATTAAGTCTTGTAAATAATTTGGTAGCCAAAATATGGAATCCAGTGTGATCAAAATTACCCGATTTCTTGTTTGTCTTGTAGTTATCAATTTGGCTTGTTTCTTTGTTTCTTCTAGTTGTCAACTTGGTTGTCATATCAGGCTTTGGAAAGGATCCAATTGAGGTTCAGTTGTGCTCTTGGACGGTTCTGTCCCATCTCACAATTGTCTCTTTAGTCCTCTTTCTGTAATTGATTTTATGCTCAGGACAGAGGTATTTATACCAATGATAATGGAAACAAAGAATGTGGTTCTTCTAAGTACTATACTTGGTGTTTCTTGAGGCTTATATATTTGTTTATTTTAGTGCTTATATATTTGTTTATTTTCGTTAATCCTCTTTTGCAAGATACATTAGAAAGTATTCTACCATTGAATGCTGTTTGCATCTTCTTATACCCTATATTTTAACTAGTTCTTGATTCGTTCTCATGAGTTCTATGCATAGATGTTGTGTAATTAGATCATGCAGGATCAAAATAAATATTTTTTCTTGGCTCCCTTATGGATTAAAAACTGATGTTTCTACTTCAGAAGCAAAAAGAGGGCCCAAATTATACCCTCTCTGCAGTTTCTTATTGAGCAACCCCTTTTCTGTAATCTGTTCTGGTTTATACATCCGGCATGTATTACTGCATCACAATGGTTTATGTAGAACCTGGCGCTTGCAATTAGACATACATGGAATGCAATACTGCAGCTATTGAATATATTATCACATTAGCTGGTCAATCATTTGTTGATTGTTCAAATCTTTCAATTGTTTCCATAGATATGGTTTAGTTGCTATTTTCTTTTTGCTTTAAACAATGTATCGTCATGCAGTTGAGAATTATTGTTGCTGGGGCACTAGGAGGCAGATTTGATCATGAGATGGGAAATGTCAACGTTCTTCTCAAATTTTCAGATATTCGGATAACTCTTCTATCTGAAGACTGCCTGCTTTACATTCTTCCAAGAGGCCACCGTCATGAAATATGTATTCTCTCTTCAGTTGAAGGCCCTCACTGTGGTCTCATTCCAATTGGTATTCCATCTAAAAGTACCACGACTACAGGCCTGCAATGGGATCTCAGTAAGTATGACTAAAGTGAATCCAGATTTTCGAAACTAACTTTTCGAAATTAACTCAGAAACTATGTATTTACAGGGAATATTGGAAAACAGTGCATGGACTACCTGCTTAATTTGCGTAGATGCTCTTGAAATTTGATTCACAAACCAATGCTTGTACGATCTGCACAATTGACATGTTCCTGGCACAGTCTTGACGTTTTTTGCTAATATTAGTTTGTGAGGCTTTAGCTGGGATAATATATATACTTGATTGAAATTTGAGACCCCTTTGTTTCAGCTGATTCGGCCATGGAATTTGGAGGCCTGATAAGTACATCAAACATCGTTCGGGAGGAAAAGGTGACTGTTTCCTCTGATTCTGATCTGCTGTGGACAATATCCATCCGCAAGGAGAATATATATTCTTGAATTGGTATTTGCTTCCTTATTCCTTTATTTAGCTTTAGAAATATCAAGTTAGGGAACTTCATAGCAATATTTGGGAAATTCATTTGTTGTTTGATCTGCGTGGTACTGATCAGATAACAAGAGGTAGAAATAGATGTTGGATGTCCATAGAATTCATATTTATGCTCACATGTGACACGACTTATGTTCATAAAGGAAATATTACATGGATTATACTCCACAAGAACAGTACCTCTGTAAATAAAGGGCCTGTATAGTGCCTGGGGAACAAATTGTACATTTGCTTTCCAATAGAGTAAGCATAGAATTTACCCATGGGAGCAGATCAGTGTTTTCGAAATAAATTAAATTGAGCATATCGTCTATTCCCATATATCAAAATGAGAGAGTGGTTGTAGGAGTCAGTTTTGACCACTATTGTCGTCCTATCTTCTCTCTTTTCAACTCAGGCTTCAGGGTGAAATGGGGCAAAATAGAAAATATAGAAAAATATCCTAGGCGTGATGTATCGCTTTTTCAAAACAATATTTGCCCTCTGCTGATAGAAATAAGTGTGCATCTAAGTTACAACCAGGCAAATTTGTGGGAGTCGAGGGTTAGAGAAATTATTTTTCTATTCAAATGTATAAGTATCACCAGAGTTGTCTTCTTTACATAAAGAGAAAGTTGTAATAGAAAACACTTGGAAAATTCATATGGCTTTTGTTTTCAAAACATGAGGAAACAAGTTTCTATTTGTAAAGAGATAAGGTGCCATTTCACTTTCACTTGTGATTTCAAAAGTCAAGAGTTGTGGCTCTTGAAATCTCAAGCATTCGTGCAGCACAGGAACTCTTCAAGTTCTAGAGAAGTAACTGCCGCATTGTGCCCCTTTAGATTTTGGAAGACCAATTGTCATGTGGTACATACGCATCTTCACAGGCAGCCTATTAATACTGGAGCGCATCGCTGGAGAAATGCGTTATTACTGGAGGGCACAATCATGGGAATGCACCATCCATCGGAACCATGTGGGTGGGATGCAGTTTATTGGAATGTACTTTTCGCCTGAAACAGGCACACGTTGGTAGGCACAAATCACCGAGGCAAGGCAATTCACCGGATGGTATAAATCACCGGAGGTTTTTCTATTGAAAGCATAATGTATAGCGGCAAAAAGATAGACAACCTATGAGCTCGACCCACGTATGTACTCGCAGGAGGGGTGCTTTATGTGCTGTTGTTAGCTTGCAAAGTGTAAAGTGCGTCATCAAGTGTAATTGCACCATTGTCCTCACACACACATACAAACACGTACATTCGCGATTCGTATCACACTGTACATGCTCCATGTAAGCCTTCTCTCATTTTGATTTTTAAAACACAAGTGAAGATATCCACGTATTTAAACAAGGTTTTTCTCTTCCACATCTTCGATATGGAATAAATAACTTAACACTTCTTTCTTTTCATGTAAGACAAAAATACTGTTTCTTTGGCCTTATATTTTCCAAAACACTATTGAACAAGATGGTTATTATTTTAAAATAACATAAGGTTTTTCTCCAAAGCCAAAATACATTAATTATAGACGACATACAACATTTGCATACTGTGAATTTATCTTTCAATTTAAACATCCACTTAGTGTAAGCACTATAAGGTACATGAAGCTCCATGGTAACATATAGCTTTGAAACTAGGATCCTATCGACATTATTGGTAGCACAACACACAAAAAACATATGCTCACCAGTGACTCTTTATATTGTCAGCTCTTTATGGGTTTTGAGCATATATCTCTGTTCATAAGCACTCTAGGTACGAATCCAATTCCATAAGAAGTCGCTTTGCTTTCACATTCATATAGGTGAGTCTACAAGAGTGCCTTTGTATATAAAACACTCCAATTGATATTAGTCATATAGATCTTGTTAAGAGCATAGCTCATCCATCCTTTGCCTGCTGTTCCATAACTAGATTTATTCTCCGTATGAATCTTATTAAAATTACAAGTAAATTATTTTATGTCTAGTGATCCAACTAACCATGCAAATGGTTATGTTTACCACATTGAATTTTGACCTCTTGAGGTAATAAGAGGCCTAGATTAGGTTCGCATTGTTGATGGTTACTCAATTGCCTTTACCCCATTCTACTTGACATCCGACTGATGTCTTCCCTTGCATATCCTTTTGTCAAGTGATCCGCCAAATTATCTTTTGATCTTACAAAATCTAGACTTATCTTTAATCAACATTTGAATGGAGTTATGTTTACGCGCAATATGTCTAGATTTTCTGTTTCCGTTATATACATTAGCATTCGCTTGAGCAAGTGTTGCACAATTATTGCAATTAATTGTAATTGCTAGAGTTGGTTTGGGCTGATATGGAATTCATGAAGTAAATTCCTTAATTGTTTCAGCTTCTTCACAAGCAAAATTTAGTGCAATGAACTTCGACTCCATAGTCGATCGAGAAATGCATGTTTATTTTTTTGAGCCCCATGATACCGTTCCTCCACCTAAGGTGACTATCCATCTAGATGTGGATAGTGACTATTTGAGTTCTGTACTACAACTCAAATCACTATATCCTTCCAACACCATGGAATAAATGATAGTTTCCTTGAAATTTTTGAAAACTCTAGAGGTTGCATCTTAATACCCTCTTCTTAGATAATTGGTATATTTGCTAAGTTTACCCACTGCATACACAATCCCTAGCTCATTGCATACATCAAACTACTAATTATTCTTGCATACTGAATACATCTCCCTTCATTTTTCATTAGCTTTATATGGGGATACATTGGTGTAAATGTTGGCTTACAATCACTACGCCCAAATTTATTGAGTATCTTTTCAATGTAGTGAGATTGAGTTAACACCAAAGTATCATCCTTTCTCACTATCTTGATCCCAAGTATTAAATCAGCTACTCTTAGATCCGTCATATCAAAGTAGATGTGAGGAACCTTTTGGCTTCCTTCATAATTTTCAAATTAAGTCCAAATATTAGCATATCATCCACGTACAAGCATATTATGACAAACTTTGCATTAATTTCTTTACTATATGCATGCTTTTTTGCCTCAGAATCCATTTGACCATACAACACTATCGAATTTCTTATGCATTGTTTTTGGAGCCTGCTTCAACCCATTCAAAGATTTGACTAATTTATACACTTTGTGTTTATGTCTTAGGATAAGAAACCATTATGGTTATTCCATATAAATTTTTATCTAATTCATCATTTAGGAATGCGGTTTTTACATCCATTTTGTGAATAATCAGATGGTTAATAGAGGTGAGAGCAAGGAGTACATGTATAATAAATCTCCTTGCTACAAGAGCGTAAGTGTCAAAATAATATGTAGCTTCTTTTGCTTTTAAACCTTTCACAACTAACCCGGCCTTATAATTAAAGGATCCATGGATTTTTCTTTTGAAAATCCTTTTACATTCAATAGGTTTAGAACTGGGTGGTAAGTCTACCTGCGTCGATGTGTCATTAGCAAGAATTGAATTCATCTCACTATTAATGGCATCTTTCCAAAGATAACGTCACTAGAAGCTAGCGCTTCGCTTAAAGAGGAAAGTTCCTCCTCAATTGAAGCCATAGGTGGTTCACCCGACACTTTCTTTTGGTTAGCTTCCACTAAGTGGATATAAAAATTAGGCCCGAAAATGGATCCTTTCTCGCTCTCTTACCTTTTCTTAGTTGTACAACCTCTTTAATGGCATAATTACAAGTTTCAGGTTCATCTCTTATTCTTGGAAGAGGACCATCATATTCTGGTTCACTTTTATGATTTAAATTCTCAAAGAATTTTGCATCTCTAGATTCAATTATAGTATTCGAACTTAGTTATAAGAATCGGTATGCCTTACTGTTTCGCTCATATCTTATAAAAGCACATCTAGAAGTTTGGAGTCGTAATTTATTTATGGCAATCTTACATAAGCCAAACGATCCCATACTTTGAGAAAGTCCAAATTTGGTTTCTTATTGAACTAGATCTCATAAGGTGTTTTCTCTACTTTTTATATAGAATATGGTTAAGTATAAAACACACAAAAAGTAAAGCTTCACCCCTCAAAGATAAACAAACCAAAATTAATGATTATAGAAATGACCATCTCCACCAATGTCTGGTTCTTTCTCTTGGTGAAGCTATTTTGTTGAGGGCTGTACGGGGTGGTGACTTAGTGAATGATCCCGTTGTTTTCACAAAAAGTAGAAAATTCATTTGATAAATATTTCTCACCCCAATTACACCTCACAATCTTTATTTTCCTCTCGAGTTAATTTTTAATTTCGGATTCATATATTTTAAAATTTTCAAATACCTTGTCTTTGTTCTTTAACAAATAAACATATATAGAAATAGAAATCATCGATGAACAAAATGAATTGCCTCTTTCCTCATATTGTGAGGATATTATTTAGGTCATAAATATCACTATGTACCTCTCCACATAAGGGAAATTCTTCCTTGTTATTTTGGCTTGAACACAAGTTTCACATTTTTAATTGGATACATCACCACATTCAGTTCAAGTGACCTAATCTAGCATGTCATAGATAGGAAATATTCACAAGTTACGTGGAAGAGTTCTTAATTTTATTACCCAAATCGAGTGTAAACATCCAATTCTACATATGCACTTTGCCCAAAAAAACACCTCTCTTGGTCAAAATGACCTTATCAGATCCAATGACCATCCAGAAACTATGCTTATTAAGCAAATAACCTGGCATTAGGTTCTTTTTTATTTCAGGTGCATAACACACGTTCTCTAAGGTGAGAATATAACCTGAACTAAATTTCAGGTCCATTGTGCTTTTACCGGGCATCCTTGTTAAGGCTTGGGTTCTATGTTGGACTGAGTTCCCACCTTCTATGGGCTTGTAGGTCTTGAACTAGTCCCCGTTGTTACAAATATGGATGGTAGTACCTGTTTCTATGCACCAACCATAATCATTTCCAATAAAGTTGACCTCAGTGATCATAGCTTTCTCTTCTTTGGTGGTTACATTTATTTAGTTGAAAGACCATGTAGCTCTCTTCTAGTGTCGGTAAAGTAATGCCTAAGTTTTCAACACAGGTAACAAATACCTTTTTTTTTTAGCCTTTTATATCTTTGAAAATGTCTTTTTACTACTTGGGAGAGATAGGCTTCTTTCCTTGAGCCTTGTCTTGTGCTTTACAATATTTGCCTTAGATTGAAAGTCCCTTACCAACTGATTTTCCATGACCTCATTTTTTCATTTTTCGAAGTCAGTTCTCATCCTTAATATGAAGAGACCGTTGCAGTTAAATAAGATCAACATTAACCTTCTTATGTTTTATTTTCTTTTGGCACTCTCTCTATGATGGGGGGTAACTTATAAATTATAGCTCCCACTTGGAAAGCCTCACTTAGCTCTACTCTACAGCCTTTAAGTTTACTTACGATATAAGATGTAACTCATATATGTTACTGAATATAAGCTTATTTTTAGTGAATTCAAAGTCAAGATAGTTGGAAATAAAAATTGTTAATTACTTGACTCTTTAGTTTTGTATTTGATCTCCAATTCATTCTGTACTTCATTTGCTGTGGATAAAGGCCTATACATGTCGAAGATGAGGTCTATGAGTGCATTGAGGTTGTATCCTTTGCATTTGAAGTCATTCTCCATCTACTCCTAGTGGAGTTTGGACTGCTTCTCTCGTTGTTGTGCTTGTTCTCCCGTCTCTCCTTCGACTTGTGGTAGCTCCTTTGGCATACGATCAATAAGAATATAGGCGACCTTGAGAGTAGTCAACAAACATAAGAGTTTTTATTGTCATCTCCGAAATTTCAACCCATCAAAATAGTCGATGTTCACAACTTTAAAGGACTCCATGTTTCACTTGAAATATTGTTTTGAATTGTTGGAAACAGAAAGGTGAAACACGTAAAAATAAAAAATATAGAAAAATAAATGATCTTTCAATCTCTGTGTTCCTAGGCATGATATATCGCTTTCTCAAGACAACATTTGCTCTTTATTGATAGAAATCAGCGTGCATCTAAGTTACAACTAGACAAATTTGTCCTCGGGATACATAAGAGCAGAGGATTGAAGAAACTATCATGCCAATACAAATGCACAAATATTGCAAGATGTAGAGCATGAGAGTTATTTCAAGATCTAGAGAACTAGATTTGCCTTCTTTCTAAAGAGAGAAAGTTATAATAGGAAACCCTTGAGAATTCGTATGCTTTCTGTTTTAAAAACAGAAGGAAACAAGTTCTTACATATAGAGAGATAAAGTGCCCTTTCACTTTCACGCATGATCTCAAAAATCAAGCGTTATTACTCTTGAAATCTCAACCGTCAGTGCGGTGTGGTAACTCTTTGAGCTGC